TATATGTAGAGTAAATGTTTTAAAAGGAGGAGGGGAGGGAGTGGGAACTGGGATTAGTATGTAAAATGAGAAAAGATTAGTTCCAAGGCTACAGAGAAACTCTGTCTTAGAAAAAAAAAAGCATTTGAAGTGGTGTGTGTGTGTGTGTGTGTGTAGAATAGGAAGAGATCCTGACATTATCCCCAACCTCCACTTGTGCCTGCATGGGTAGGCATGTATGCATGTACATGTGCACACAGGCGAACACTGCACAGACAAACATGGGCAGTCTAGAGCAGGGGTTCTCAACCTCCCTAGTGCTGTGACCCTTCCATACAGTTCCTCATGCTGTGCTGACCCCCCAACCATAACATTATTTTGTTGCTACTTCATAACTATAATTTTGCTACTGTGATGAATTGTAATATAAATATCTGATATGCAGGATGTCTGCTCTGTGGCCCATCCTTGGCGTCACTTCCAGGACAGGAGTGAAGAATCTTCCAGATCAACTGCCCATAGACAGATAAATCATCTCTAGCAATTTAGGTCAAGTTGGCTGCTAAGTATCCTCAAGTTCAGATGTCGTGGAGAGAGACAAGTTGTTCCCACTGTTTCCTGATCCAATTCCTGCCCATGCCCCACTGAATCTGTGACCATGAGAAAACAACTTTGGGTAGTCTCCACTACATTTGGTGCGGGTTAGGATACAGCAAGAGAAACCAAACCGGGAACTTGGTGTCTGACAGTGACGTTGTATTGTAACAGAGCATAAAATGTGTGACTTTGACCTGAGGACTGAAAAGCAGGAGGAAGCAGAGTGGGACTTAGAGGGCTGTGGCTTAAAGAGGAGGACGGTGGGGAAGGAGGAAAATCACCTTTTGTGATTCTCCGTAGCCAACAGAATGTAGCTGAGGTGATGCTGTGTGATTTACCTGGTTAGACCACAAGCACATGGTCTCTGGGGACCTGCGTGCTCCAAATGCTACCTCTTAGAAGCCACTGACCATGCTCTAAAAGCACCCACATTAAGGTGAGAGGCCACCTGGTAGTGGACAGTTCAACTGAGCTCAGTCTCTGTGGCATCCAAACTATGCCAGCTACCCTGACCTTCCAAGCTGATATCGAGACAGGGTGTAGCAGACAAGTAACCCTCCTGGGCCTTGTAGAACACCTGACTCAGAGAATCCACATGCAATAAAATGATAATTGTTTTATGCCAAGTAGGCTTGGTGGTGGCAACAACCCAAACACCAATTCACACACACACACATACACACACACACGCACGCACGCACGCACGCACACACACACTGCATCCTACGAGAAAGCAAATGCTTGCAGTTTTCAGTTCTGGCTTCCACAGTGCGTAGGCAGGGCTGTGGGGACCTGCTGACCCACTCCTCATGAGGTCTCTGTAGTTAGTGACCCTCCAAACAGTGTACAAATGTCACCAGTGTCTGTAAAGCCTGCGGTTATCGCCTGGATTGGAGGAGGGCATGAGATGGCTATTCTAGGCTTGCACAGAGACTGATGATAAACAAACAAGCAAGTTCTCTGTGCATCCAGGAATAGCTGAGAACCAAGAGATCTGTGCAGACTCAAGCCTGGAGCATCTCTGGCTGCGAAAACCCAGGCCATCCCTCTGCTAGTGGGATTGGCTCCCGGGAGCATTCAGCCTCAGAGTGCATGTGGCCCGGGGAGAAAGCAATAATGCCTCCGTGGGATGACAGGGTGAGGCATGGAGGAGGGAGTAGTCCCCTCGACTCTGACGTCCTCTAGAGGCTGCAAGAATTGAGAGACTGGATACTGGGATACCTTCTAATAGTGTTGTATGTGCCACAGAGATCAGCTGGGAAAGTAAGAGCAAGGTGACTGCATTGATAAACCTACACTGTACAGCAGTTCATATTTTTATATTTTGGTTGTGAGCCTAGCCTTTAATGGCTGAGCCGTCTCTCCAGCCCAACAGCTCATCTTCTTATATATTTAAAAAAACAACTGCTATTTTCTGAAAAATAAAATAAACCAAAGGTGGTGTGAAGGCCACACTTAATGAAGTTCACACGTCTACGTCAGTACTGGTCAGCACAAACCGGTGGGTATCAGTCTTCAGAGGTGACCCAGGAGGCCTTGATGGCTGTCATGGCCCCCTCAAACACACACACACACACACACACACACACACCAGCTCTTTGTCCCCATCTCCTTTGGAATCCTGGTTGACCTTTCCCCCCACAAACACTTTCTCTGGACCCCAATGCCCTAGGCCTCACTCAGGCGCTTTCTAAGGGGCCCCAGGTGCTTAGACAGGAACTATGCCACCAACCCAAGTCCTGAGAGGACAGGTGTCAGTAGAGGCCAAGCAGCAGCAGTGAGCTGAGGGAAGATGAGAGTCAGCTCTGAGGTGGAGAAGAAAGTGCCGAGCTCTGGTGTTACCCCAAACTCCTGCACGGTGGCCCTCAGAACATGGCCTT